TTTTAATTATATCCACGACAACACTATCGTTCGTTGCGACAGCATCCATTGTGGCAACATTATCGTCCTGTATGACATTACGTACTATGACAGCGTTTGTCATGGGAACAACGTATATACCCTGCATCTTTTTCGTCCGGCTCTCAAATGTTCTGTAAACAAACTATGCACATATAATCCCCGTATATCCACAAATTCCATACACTATACAATCGTGTACACTCGTCGTCGCCGCTACCGCTACCGCTACCGATGCTGTTATTGCTGCCGTAGTCTACACTCGTGGCCGCCGCTACCGCTACCTCTGCCGTCGTGAACGATGCTCGCTCGGCTCAACTACGGGGTCATTTCCTGCCCGCCTGTACGTGTGGTTCCAGCCGTGTTTTGTTGTGGCGGCTTCCATATTGAGCAATACGATACGTATCGGGTCGTATTATTTCTTTCTCCCCTGGGTCCTCACCTTCCGCTCCGTTTGGTGCTGGTTTATCGCTCGCTACAGATTTGGTTGCCTTTCCCTCACTGTCATCACCCTCTCGATTTCTACCGGTGACTGCTTCGATAGACTGCATGCATGCTCCAGGGTCGAGCGCGCATTGCATTACCCCCGTCTTTACCTCCTCAACTATGTTCTTCAATTTTTGGCCTAATTTCTGTATAACTGTTTTCTCCTCTGGCCTCAGGTCTGTGTTGTCAGGCATGGCCTGTCCATCCTGCGTTGCCCCGTCAAGTTCTGCTAATCTTTTCGTACATATGCTTTCTATGCGTTTCCCTGCAAATTTGTCAGTCAAGCTCGGGTGGCGCTTTAACCATGCCTTAATCATTTGCTCCATGTTGAAGTCCTTGATTTGTATATCTGCAAACACTCCCCTCTGGCAGTTGCCCGTTGTAATTAATCCAGGCGCACCTTCCTCCAGCTGTTTCATGGTGTACCATGCATAATTTACACCCATTCGACTTTTGCATGGAGATTCCAGCAATATGTACATAAATATATTTACTATTGCGCACCTTATATGTTCCTTCAACGCTTCATTATGAGTGTCGTTAGTTTGCGAACCGCCGGACTGCGTACGCGGCCCATTCATGAAAAATACTGCTCCTGTCATGAGTGTGCACATTAGTCTATCCGCGACTGTCTTTGCCATAAGTGTGACTCCTCTGCTCTCACTCCAATAACCCGCGTTCAAACAATTAGCTGCATACTGGTCTAGGTTCTCATGGTCCAAACTTGCCACAAATTTGTCAAGTAGCGCTGTGATATCCTTCCATAAACTTGTCTACAATTGCAGTAATGCGGGGGCATGTACATATATTTCATGGTCCTGTCTTCACGGAAGATACTGGCGCCAGTCGCCCGTATGCTACATGCTGTACCTAGTATGCTATGCTCACAGCGGACATATGCTTTCCCGTTCTCGTAACGTGAACATATGTATGTTGCAACCTGAGTACCCTGCCTATCGACCACCTATATATATGTGTAGGCGCGTGCTCACGGCATGTGTCCCTCACAATGAATTACCGTATATGCTTTTGCATCCTCCCCTATTCCCCGTGTGAGCACATATTGTGCTAATAAAGCCCCTAACGTCGTATACGTCATATTGTCATTATCATGAATCAATAGGGTGCGACGGATGAAACAATTATCTCTCAGATAACGGCTTGAATATAATGTGGACACAATGTTCTATTACGTAGTATTCAGATTTGTAGCGAATGAAACATGTCTTCTAGTATACGTTCGTTTGTGAAACATCTCACATGAACAAACTATCCCCTATCTGAATTTAATCACACATCCTACAAAGCGTGGGATGAAAGGAAGGAAAAAAAGAAGAACAAAAAAGGGTAACAAGAAAAAACAAGTGAACGAAAAACAACATAGTATGCACATGCACAACAGCATCCTGCACACAACAGAGAGAAGACTGTCTCTATCTTTTGCACACATGAACAATGTGTCCTACTCAAGGAATAAGAAAAAAGGAAAAAAAAAAAGAAAGCATAGTAAAATATAGAAAAAACACAACACATCCTCATGAAAAGCACCCCTTGCCCCTTGTCTACACCGGTCTCCACTAAACGCCTGTCACACACACGGTCTCTGTGTGCGTAGAGCTAAAACCCCGCAGTATAACAACAACATCAATACTTCTGCCGTCGTTGCTGCCGTCCTGCCGTCGTTGCCGTTTGTTGGTCGCGCTCCCACATAATATGTCTGTTCCTTCCTCCGTCCCTGCGCTCTCAGCTCCCTCTGTGATCCTGACTCGGACAATCTCCGTTTACCCGGCTACTTCGTCGAATCGCTTCACTCGGACCGCCCACGTTTGCTCGGAGAGACAATCTCTCCTCCTTCTTACACTCGGCTACTAGGTCGAATCGTGGTTACACTCGGCCGCGTTTGCTCGGAGAGACAATGTCTCCCTCCGTTCTTACACTCGGACAATCCGTCGTCGAATCCTTCTTACACTCGGCCGCTTTGGTCGACGCGTTTGCTCGGAGAGATAATCTCGCCTCCTTCTTACACTCGGCACAATGCTTACTCGGCTACTTCGTCGAATCGTGGTTACAATCCGCCACGTTTCCTCGCAAGAGCCGTGCTTACTCGGCCGCTTTGGTCGACGCGTGTGAGCGGCTACGACGTCGAAGTCGTGCTGCAGGCAGACGGATGGTGTGCGCGGAGGGCATTAGCAGCAAGCATGCAAATCAAAAACCATGAACGAACGCAATGGCGTGGACGCCACAGATGACAAATAGTAGGAGAGGTAGTGGAAAATAAAAGATGGATGCGCTCGCAGGTGCAAGATGCAGTGAATGGAATAATCGCGTGGAACGACCAACAGCCTGGATGCGAATGCAAAAGCAGAAAGAACATAAGCATGAAAATTGCGAAGAGCGCGGCAGATTAGGCGTAGAATGCAAAAAAACAAAAAAACAACAAACCCACAGAGGCGTGCGATGCACGAAGTGAAATGGCGAAAAAAACGTATAATGGCATGCAAGGGTAGGGATACATGAAAAAAGTGAAAAAAGCGCCTGCGCATCAGCAGCGTGCAGGAATGCATATGAAAAAGGCGAAAGGGGCGCAAGAGCAATGCGCAAATGAAGCATGCAGGAAAAGGGAATGAAAAAGGGATGCAGTAGAAGGAGAGCAAAGAAAGGAGGAAAAGGGGGGGG